AAAATTGGTTGCCAGTATGAGCAGCAGCAGCAGCAGCAGCAGCAGCAGCAGCAGCAGCAGCAGCAGCAGCATTCTTGACACTCTTGACAGCTTTCCCATCGACTTTCCGACGAGCTGCAGAAGCAAGAGACAAAGTTCCGCAGCGTCCCCGTGCCGCACGCCATGATGGACATGGAGCTGAGGAGGATGCAGCAGCAGGAGGAGGAGCGCAACTACCGCAAGAAGGACCGCAAGGAGAAGATCCTCAGCCAGTCCTCGCTCCCTCCTCGAATGCAGAAGTACCAGGAGGAGTTCGGGAACCGCGGAGCTGTAAGAGGAGGAGAGTAGGGCGGGACACACGTGACTGACAGGAGGAGCAGGGGAGGAGGGGAGGAGCGGAGGGTATCACAGCAGAGCACACGTTCCGTCCCGCCCCCCCCAAGATCGTCCCTGACTTCAAGAGCATGCAGAAGGCCTTTGAGGACGAGCTCGCGGGTCAGTTGAACCCACTGAAAGCCTCCGCCACCACCACCTCCCTTCCTCCTCCCTTCCTCCTCCCTTCCTCCTCCTCCTCCTCTTTCTCCTCCTCCTTACTCTTCCTCCCCTCCTTACTCCTCCTCCTCCTCTTCCTCCTCCTCACTTTTAGTCTTCCCCTTCTCTCCCTGCCCTCACGCTCTTGTCAGAGTACAAGAGTCGCAACCTTTCGTCAATGAAGAAGAGCGAGCTCAAACCTTTCTTCCTCCGCAGCGAGTGGGTCAAATTTGAAGCCTTTGCGAAATTCCGTGAAAATATGAGGTGAGGAGGAGGGAGAAGGGGAGAGGGAGAGGGAGGGAGAGGGAGAGCGGATGATAAAGTAGGGACAGGAGGAGGAGGTCAGGGAGGTTGGGGTTGGTGTGGAGGACGAGGGTTGTTGGAGTGTGGGGAGGGTGAGGGCTGACTGGATGGCAGGGGCTCAAAGTGAACAAAGCTGCTCCTGAGAGCAAACTGAAGGAGATGAATCTTTCCTCGTCCTCCAGCCAGTGGGAGCTCATTCAAGGCCTCATCAACCGTGACGTGGGAGGAAATACTGGTCAGCCCAGATTCCTCCTCCTCCTCCTCCACCACC